GCCCCTGGTCACCTGTGGATATATTTAAAGATTGCCGCCCTTTTAAAAAAAAATAAAAAAAATTAGGGGGAACCGGTAGCACAGGACCACAGGTCCATGAGGGCTACTGGTAGTGCAGTGGGGCGAGCTGGCAGAGTGGCAAAATTTGAAATTTGCATTGAATTACCCCCGCGATTTATTTCGCGGTTGAAATGATTTTATTTTATTTTTTTAATATTTTTCCTGTAAGGATCACGACCAAATCTATAGACCCTCAAAGTTTCAGAGTTGTTGGGTCATCCTCCTGATTGCAAAAAATCGTGAAAGTTGGATTTCTTTTTCCATTGGCCCATACGTGGTAGAGTAGCAAAAATATAAAATGTGACAAAACAGCGTGGCATTTACTTCACCGTTAATTTTTTTTATATTTTTTTCTGATATTTTTCCTGGAAAGATCACGGCCTAATCTACAGGATATCTAATTTTCAGATTTTTTTTTGCCAATTTTTCTGAGCGTGAAAAATCGTCAAACTTCACGCTTGAAAATGCTTGGCCCSAACCCGCCTGCGCGACGTTAGGGTTCGGACACACAGCCACATCCTGACGTGCCAGCAGCCTGACGTTGGATACACTTCAAAAGACAGCAGACAGGGACCCAGTCCACCATAGTGGTTATAGCATCAAGCAATTGGGTATTTTGAAATCTGTGCGTGGGTTCGAACCCCAACCCATCCATTGTGCACGAATTCAAATACTGTATATACTAATACTAACATGTGTGTGTGGGTGGGTGCGTGGCTGCCGCCGGCCGGGCCTCCTTGCTTTTGTCATCACCAACTCAAAAGAAGGGGCAACACGACAGACGAATACAGAAAAAGGGGAAAATGAAAAAAAGGCCGGCCAGACGACAGAAGCATACAACGGGAAAAGCAAAATCAGAGGAATGCGACGGAAAGGGGGGGAAAACGACAGAAGATTGCAACAGAATAAGAAAGAAAATAAAAAGGGAACCAACCGACGACGGAAAAAGGGAAAAGAAAAACAAAAAAAGGGATTGGAAATAAATTTAAAAAAAAAGGGGGGACGGCTATCCGACAACGGGCGCTTCAAGATATTCTCTCGCACCAACGCCCGCCGCCGCCGCCCGGCCCGATGGGCACGCTCACTCGTTTTTTGACACGCTGTGAACAATTCGGTACGCGCGCCGCTCTGCACGCCGCCCCTCCCTCGATCGCCTTCATCCGCTGGCCCGAATCAAAACTTCGGCCTGATTCCGGCGCGCAGCGGACACAACCTCCCCCCGCGGGCCACTCGCGCTTAAGGGGTAGGATAAAAAATAATAATAATAAAAGCCCGGAGGGCTCAGACCAGAGGAAGGTTTGCAGTGTGTCTGTTATTCCCCTGGTCTCTGCGGGCTTGATCCCGTGATCAAGCCCCTAGTATTATTGACTAGCTTTAAGCCCTACTGGGCTTGACCCGTGAACCTGTCGCTAGTACTCTCTATTTGGCAGTCTTAGGCCCTTCAGCCTTGCTGTTTGTCTTTTCCTGGTTTTCTGGAAACTTGGCAGGCCCGTAGGTCTCCCTTGTGTGTGTCCTAGACTTGAGTCCTCTCGGTATAGGTTCCCATCTAGATGCAGATAGGCAGCTCTTGACTGTTTGGCCCTACATGTGGGTTGTTTGGACGGTCAGACAGCAGACAAACTGCGTGAGCAACTGCAATTCATTGCATATGCATGTGAGAGCAGGCTACTCCCAAACTTCTATCCCACTTTTTTTTCATCTCACCAGCCCCTCCCCTATAGGGCAGGTTGATTTATTGTGTAACCGATTCGCAAACCTAAGCCCAACCTACAGACTGACTCCCCTTTCTCTCCTACTTGCCCCTTGCCCCTTGCCCAAAGGGCCCAAAGGGTCAGGTTACCCCGTTCAATAACCGATTCGCACCAGTAGTAGAGCCTGCACAATTCCCTGCTCCCTGCTTATCACGTATCTGTAGTGTCATGTCTGATGTGCGCTACACTAGGTTGAGGGGCAAGTTCGTGGGGTGTCGAACTCACGCCAACTTAGCATGCCCAGGAGATGAATGTACGTGCGCTACACTAGGCTGAGGGGCAAGTACGTGGGGTGTCGAACTCACGCCAACTTCGCATGCCCAGGAGAGACTAAGGGCTGATAGGAATCAAGGCCACAACATCACCATTGCAATGCCAGAGCTCTAACCAACTGACCCATCCAACCAACAACAACAGTGGAGTGCCAGCCTACCCCATGGGTCAGGGAGAGGTACTGGCTGGCGAGTTTTCCCTGGAAGTGTACATACAGTAGAGAGGTGAAGAAATTAAGAAGGAAAAAACAGTGACATTGGTGATGGAGTTAGTGTATGCAATAGAAGGGCGAAAGGAAACAGGATTGGTAAAATATTAAAAAATAAGGGCTTCCCCTTCCGTAAAATAAACATTCCAATGAAAAGGGAAAGGGCAACTCAAAATAGAATATATACATGCTGGGTACCCTAGAGGGCATTGGCTGGCACCCACCTGCAACTGGGGTTCAGGCCGATTATCGCTTGAAGTACTGTCTGTTCGGCGACTCAAGCCGTTGCTGATGGTTCAGCCTCCTGATGTGGCAGTGAAAGTCCTCTGCAACAGCCTGTCACAGTCCTATGTTTCCTGTCCTTTTCTCCCTTTCTGCATACAATTCACTGGGCAGTTCTCTGTGACAATAGGTCTCGCTCCACTACACTAAACTCTCGAAAATTCAAGAGTTCTGCCTCGCTCCACTTACACTGGACAAACCTCTAAAAAATGTGTGTCTAGTGCTGTCAGAAAATGCTCCAGACGCGCACTCTCTACTGCTTTAGAGTGCCCCAGCCTGCAGCACCGTTTCCTCTAGGGTCCTCCGTTCTGGTCTTGAAACGGTGCCGAAATTCGCGAGTCTACCGCAAGTCTGGGTGGACAACCGGGCTGGCGGTGTCACATTGTGGAATGGGACAAAACAGACTGGACTCTCGACTGTTTGAGTGTCTGTCTAGAGTAGCACCCTCTAGTGTCAGTGGAGCGAGGCTGGCTTTTTGTAGATTGTCTAGAGTCTGACAACACTCGACCAACTTTAGACTTTTTTCTAGAGTCAAGTGTAGTGGAGCGAGACCCAAGGTATGTGGTATGTACAATATTCATAAATATGTAAATATGTACATATATCTGGAGCATATAAAGTTATAAAGACACCTGCAAGACTTCCAAAAATTCAGGAACACACGGACACACACAGAATGAGATCCCAGATACCTGGGTACTGTGTTTAGGGCCGTTGATCTGCATAATCTACGGTTAGAAACTATGAAGCCAGTATAAGTGGGATCTTCGCCATGCCCTGACAGGGCAAAAGCACCACTGCTGACAGCAACTGTACCCAGCTGCCAGGACTCTTCAGAATTTGAGAGTTCCATCTTCTTTTTTTTCCCTTTTTCTTTTCATGACCTTGAAGATCAATGCATCTCTGAACCCATGAGGGGTCAAGTTCTAACGTGCCAAAAAGAAGCAGGCTAACTGACAAATCCAATCTGCAATTGAGAGCCACTGATTTGTTCCTCAGTACTGATTCTGTTGCCCATTCTTCGGTCAGAATTGACTCAAAGCATCTCTAACAAGCAGCTTACTCCCATATTCGGCCACCCACCAAAGGCACACAAAAGAAAAAGAAAGCAGCTTATGCCCATTTTGAGCAGGCCACCAAAGGTGAGCAAGAAAAGAGAATATTTTTCATGTGCTCAGCCGACACCTGAAGATTCCACCTGCACTCTCTGCACTCTTTTTTTCTTTCTTTTTAAACGTGCTGTGGGGGTCCGACTGCTGGAGCTGATAAGAGCAATTCCACATGTTCTGGGCCACAAAATGGAAGATTGTCTAACGATTCCTTTCTCCTCAAAGTCACTTCTGTGCCTCAAAAGTGGTCTTCGTATTTTGGGGAATGTTCACAGTTGCCACGCAAGGTTGTTTGTGAGTAAGGTTTTACCTTGCAAGCCACAGGATGACTGACTTTTTTTTTTCCTTTTTTTTTTGTGGAAAACCAGTCCCATGATGACAATCACATCAATACGGGAAGTGCAGCAATGTTGGCATACGGATGGCTCTTCTTCTTTACCGTTGCCCTGCAAGCCACAGGATGATGACGGTGATGATGACAATGGCTTCAATAGGGGAGCTGCGGTAATGTTCGCATGCGGACAGCTCTGCTTCTTTAGACCATTTTCTTAACTATAAAAGTTTCACAATTTCTTTTTCCTAAACATAAAAAGGCTATTAAGAAAATGTGAAAAAGGAAGAATCAGACAAGATTGCCCTGAACCTGCACTACTGCCGCTCGGTAAGTGCCATGCCACCACCACACCAAGTGACTGCCTGACGCCACGTTGCTAACGCAAACACCGTGCTTCAAGTCACACAGTTCACGGTAGAGGACCTCCGTGCGGCTTTCTTGCTCTGGGTGAGTAAAGGCCACATCACTATCAAGCCGTCTGTTCTCTCCAGAGATCGACGGTCTCGATCGGGTTAGGGCCCACGCTCCGTAAACCCACCCGATTCCTATTGAGCACCGTTCTGGAACGAAAGTTGGCAACGTTGCAAGGGCGAATCTTATGATAGGTGACAAAGTTGAAGGGTGTTAAGGGATAACAGTTCGAAGATTCTGTAGAACGATAACCTCATAAATACGGGCATCGAATCAAGAGGACCGCCGCATCGAGTCCGCTCAACCTTTACCAATTACGGAAAAGGTGCGGCACCATTTCTCAAAAAATATTTACGGACCACAATCGTTGAGGAAACCCCTAGCAGCAAAAAGGCAGCAAGTTCCTTTGATGGACATGATGAGCAGCTCATCCTCTGGAAGCCGGGAATGACAAGCACGAAATATAAAAGGACGTGAAGAAGAGACTATCACGCCATTGACAGGAAGGCCACTACAACCGTGAAGGGCATCCATCTGTCACACACTTCGAGATAACGGGTCTGAAGAGGACACGAGGCTAGCAACCGAGGTGGCAGGGAAGAGGATCAGGGCTACAAGTTAAGACCACACAACCCTTTCGGATTATGGACAAGGCGCAGTGCTCCTTGACGGCAACTATCTGCAATGCAGGAGAGCCTACCGCTCCTCCCTCCTCTGCTTGCTCCCCGTCATCGCACCCCTACCCAGCCCTGTGTGTGTTCGTAGTCCCAGCACCGTGTGACATGCCTGTGGTAGCATGTGTCGCCAATACCCCACCTCCACCATCCTCCCCCTCACTATCGTCCTTCCTGGGCACAAGGCCAACCCCAAATGTGTCCTCCACAACTGGTTCGTCCTCATCCCCATCCCTCCCGCCCTCCTCATCCGCCTATTGTGTGCCTTCCTCTCCTCCTGCATGCGCAGCCACTGTCGACCTGCCAACACCCTGGGGTTGTGAAATAGCACCTTCCTCAGCATTGGGCAGCCCAAACTCTCTTGCCCTCTGTTGTCGCAATAACTTTTGTGTCCTAGGGCAAACGTCGACAATCCTCCCTGCCACATCAAAATCGGTGGTCCTACGATCCATCTCGCTCTCTCCAACCGCCCCTCCCTCCTCTGTCAGTGGTCCATACTCGACCTCGTCCGCACACCTATGTTCATGTCCCATGTCCCCTGCTGCCTTTGCCAATATCCCCGAACTCGCTCCCGAAAATACCCACCCTACCTGGCGTTGCATGTCACGCATCGTCGTGAGATGCAGCTCCTCTGCAAATCCTATTGACACCGCAGGACTAGCTGCCATGGAACCCTCATGAAAGATGTCATACGGGACGGAAGTTGTATGCACCTGCGAACCCTGTTGAGTCCCCCCGCTGGCCACATAATGAGACTCAGGCACAACAAACCCTCCGCCAGCTCCGTTGTGCCTCGTTCCACCCTCGTCATTATCGTCGTCCATCGCATATCCTCCCTGTGCAGCACCCGGATGAGGGTCGGGCTCAACACTGCAAGGCATGTCCTCTTGCTTGGAGTCATCATCATTGACAACTCCCCCATCATCATCAGACGAACTAACAACACCCAGTCGCGTGCATGATCCACGACAGAACGCTCAGACCTCGTTTGTAGACGCTGTCTGACGAAGGGTTGGTACCCTGGGCCTCGTGACAACGGCTCTGACAATCGCTGCCGCCCAACTCCTCGCTACCAGCTTGTCCCTCGGCATCGTGGTCACTCGCCTCCTACTCCAAGTCCTCCGGGTCTGTCCACACCTCGGTTTCCATATCATCTGTTGTCGCGGGGTCCTGGGGAGGGTCGTACTCAAACTCTCTTATGGCACAAGCTTTCTAGCTCGACGGCCAAACACCGTGCTAACCGAGGGAGGATGTCGATCCAGGGAATCCTACTGCATCCTCCTCACCTGTCGTCTAATATTGTCCTCTGTCACCACCGATGGCGGGGTCCCCAAATTGTGTGGCTCAGGGAGAGCATCGCCCAAGCCCTCCTCCGGATCACCCCAAGGTAGCACGTACCTTGACCTCCTATCCCAACGCTAACTCGGTTTGAGATTCGTAGTGACCTCAACCAACTGAGTGAGCTTGGCGAAACCAAGCTCATTGTGGCGCCAAGAGTGAATACGCTCATGCACCACCCAGATCCTCTTTGTAAGAGAAACACAAACCCAAGTCTACATAAGTCCGACATCAATCTCTAAAAGATCAGGGGCTCAGCTGCCATGTTCGACCCACCAATCCGCAATAGCCTACGACTCCTTGGTCCAGCACACAACTCGGATGAGCAGCATCATCCTCCCTTTTCCATCGATACTCGGGACCTCGGAAATGGGAGTCCATCAGCTGCCACCACACCGGCCTACATCTCTCGCCCCACATGCCAAACCCTATCTGGCTCGACAAGTACTCGACGTAGATATCGGTGATCTTCTTATGTTGACAGATCCTGGTCGACAATGAAAAATAAATAAAACTCTGCCACCTCGGATTGAAGAGGCGGGCGGTGGTGTGGGCAGGCTCCAATAGATGGCACGTCCTCGCATGTGTCCTAAAGCACAGTGTGAAGGCACTCAGCTTGGCTCAACTCCAACTTCTACACCTCCTCCGCCAACTCAAGTTGAATAACCCAACGGAAAACGTGAGAAATCATCATCCCCCCCTGATGAGCTGCCCTAAGAGCTGCACGACAGGGGTCATCACTCAAATCAAGTCCTTCATCTCCTGCCAGAACAATCCACAAGGCGCTTGAACCCTCATCCATGTTGCTTGTGACAGAAACCTCCTCTCCCACGGTAGGCGCGCCCATGCACCTTCTATCGTCATGCACTCCAACGTGGCTTCCTGTCACGCAACCTCTCCATCATCAAGAATATGGAGGCAAACCACCTCTGGCAAGGGTACAACAACTCCTGTCCCCTACATGCCCTGCCTCCCCTACCCTTCCCCCCGGCCCGTCCCTCCTCTGCTGCCCTCCTGCTCTGCCCCGGCAAACCTCGCATTGTATCTCCTGTACAACGCTAGAGCAGAATCATGTGATCTGATGAGTAGTACCAATCCTCTCGCCCTCACCACTGAGTCACAAGCAACTCTTCAGCTCATTTCTTGCCCTTGGTCACATCTGACAACATCAACATGTGGACAGAACAAGGGATCCAATCATCCAAGGAATGTACCAGATCTCTCTGCAACATGCGGCCAGCATGAACATAGAGTCTGTGCACATAGCATTAATATTCCTTTTTTTTTTTTTTTTTGAGCAAACGACCTCGGAGGCAGCTTGAGGTGCTGGTAGGAGCAGTCACGTCAAGCTGGTCCGGGGGGGCTCCATTTATTACAGATACCCAGGATTCCTGGAAATCACATGCAACACAGATACTGGTCGCATGCTGTGGGCTAATAGACTAATAGACTGTGACATATTTTGTGTAATATAGTGTGGCTGTTTGTAGCATACTTGCAAGGGGACGCCGTCCGGGCGGTTCCGCACGTGCGGCGGACCGCCGGACCGGACCCGCGCGGAATGTGCGCGCGACGACCAGTTACCCCCCAACCCCCCCCCCCAAAAAAAAACGGCCCCGTCCGGTTCAGTCCGGTCCGGTCCGGGTCCGTCCGGTCCGGGGGGAGGGTGCCGCACGCGGCAAAGCGGACCGGACGGAACGCTCGTCCGATCTGTCCGCTTGAAAGTATGGTTTGTAGGCATACGGTACATGTATTGAGTGTAACGTGGTATGTATGTTTGTAGGCCTATAGTACAGTACTATCTACGTCTATCTATGTCTATCTGTGTTTGCAATTAGTAGCATTAGTAAATGTCGTACTGGGTCGTACTATTAAGCGGCGTTTGACAGTGTTTGACAGTATTGACAGTGCTGTATTGAGCATGAGTTCATGTATGTCAAGTGTGTAATGTGTAAGTTACTAACTACATGGTGCGGTGGAGTTGGTGCAATCTATGAATGCATTTTACAGTATTTGGCTATGCTGTACTATATTGTATCGTTGTATTGTTGAGCAGCATTTGAACATGTTGTATGACACCTGACTTCAGCTGAGTAGACCTTTTCTCCTCTGGCCGCTCTTCAGATTAGAGCATCAAAACAGTCAATCCCTGGCCGGCTAGGCAACAGGGGGGGGGGGGGGGGGCGGGGGGGGGGGGGGGAAAGAGGGAAGCGGGGGGAGAAGGGGGATGGGAAGGTGCTGGGGGTGATGGAGATTAGGGGGAGAGGGGTACCCAGATTACTTACCATT